GTTTGGAAGTTTCTTTTGGGGGCATTTGGTACACTGTCCTTTTGCTGCGTGGCTTCCAGCAAGACATCACATGGAAAACGCTGTTTGTAGAAGTGGCGGGGTTCAGTGCTAAAGGCTGGATTTGGCTGAAGCGCATGCAATTGACGCGTAGCTGGAACGGATGGCCCACAAAGCGCACACATGAAAACGGGCTCAACGCAAATTCATAATAGATTGATATCATGCTCCCTCTCTTGATTAGAAGCTCTCGGTTCCCGGCCCCTGGCAATGGTGTTTTGCTGGTTGGTGCTTACCATTTTCTAACGGTGTTTCATGGACATGCCGAATCTACGCTGAAGGTATGCCGTTTTTGCGATGTGCAGACTTGTTGTGCCGAATCAGATACTGTCGGATGTGCCATTGAGTTTTTGCTCAGTCGTTCAACGCTTGTTCTCATTGAGCAGGCAAAGAAAAGAAAGTGCAAACCAGAGCTTGCAAATAGGCGCGTCCTGATTATTGGCAATGAGTATGACAACGTTCGCTGGCAAAAGGTATCCTGCAAATAGCGAGAATCAAGGATGTAGTTCATGATGGTGAGGCGAGCGGCTGCTATATCTGTGATCTGGTTCATCTTAAATCACATATTGGTATTCTTCTTCATGTTGCATGATGCCGCCGCTGCGACAAGTAAAGTTCGCACGATGATGATGACGATGATGCCTGACTGCTGCCAGGTTCCCGGTGGTACCATGACTGCCGTTACTACCATTCTCACCACCGTTGCAGCTATCACCATGATGAAATCGCCACTATTGCCATCTTCATAACCATCATCATTAGCACGCTTACCATTATTTCTCGTTTCAGCTCTATCGTTCTTGCCATGGCAGCCATGGTTGCCATTACTGCTACGCTTACTGATCTCACCATTATCACCGTCATTACCAAGCTTTGCTGTTGTATTGCCGCTTTTATCATTTTGTGATGATCGGCGGGCGTCGGGCCTTGGAGCAGCAAGGCGACGCCCAAAACAGAACAACTAAATGTGCTGAGCCATGAGAACCCCGACGCCTAGAACGCACGGATCAACATCCCCCCCTGAATCCAGGAAATGCAAAGGGTCCCAAGCGTTGGAGAATCGGCCAGGTTTCCGGCCGCGAGCCCCGACGAACAGCGGCGGGGCGCGCCCGCCGCACGGCATGCTGCTGCTGGTAGTTTCAGAGAGCTCCTTGGGAAATTGGGTCCAGGGGTCATATGGTTCTCGAAAGCATGTCCCCTTAGGATGGTTCGTTCGGCCTGGGATGGTTAGGAAATCTGACCGCTGGCAACAATTGCAAAGAACAGTGTTGCCACTGCGGACCTGCTGACCTTGTCCAAGCTGCCGAAACGCAAAAAACGCCGCAAGGGGAAATGATTCAAACTCCCTACAAAATCGAATATCGTGGGCTCAAAACCGGGTAATTTAGCCATCAAGATTAATGAGATTTATTGGTCCGGCTGTTATTGCTAAGTATGAATGATCTGTCTCCTTATGTTCCATCACAGGTTCTGAAAGGGAGAGCGGTGGTGGTCCTTCGTGCAACCGAATGTTAGTGCTAAGATGGTATTGCGTTAAATGTGGGGTTGTCATCATGCAGAAGAGTCATTGCAAAATGTCATGTCGCATGCTAGAGTTTTTGTCTGGGATACCCCAAGCAGCTGCTCCCAAGACTTTCGCCGAAGCCCCAGCAAGCCCTTCAGTCCAAAAAGGTCAACAACGTTGGCAAACACTCGACTCTAGCATGCACCCCACTCACCCAAGAAGCCCACGGTTTAAAGTGCAGGGGTTTTAGGTTGCTGTTTCCGAGGGTTTGTACTGGTACTGGGAAGCGCTTGTGGCTTCGCGGCTTTGGAAAAGGGCTTGCAGAGCGACTCGAAAGGTTTTCATTTTTGGCAGCTTTGGAGCCTGTCTTACTTGCGCGTTGATGAGCCAGCCCTCCTCGTCTTGCAGCCATTTGCAAAATTCAAGACCGCCTCGGGCCGCTGTTGCCGCGATGAGGCTGGCCTGTGATCCAGTCCTTGTTTGTGACCCTTTCCAGGTCCAGCCTAGCCGCCTAGCATATTTCTGCATCTGCTGTGCGACGTCTTTCGCAAGTCTGGCAATTTCTGCTTGAAAGGTCATGTGGTGAAGTACTCCAGGGTTTGTCAAAGCTGTCTTGCCGAGTTCAGCTACACCGTGGGTGAAAACATTGGGCATGACCGGGGTGCGATGGCACAAGTCAACAATTTAGTCAGCGACAGGGTCCAGCTTGCCGTGACCGAGCTGATGCCGCTGTGACTCCATCGCATTGGTCCTAATAGCATTAGAAGATTCCATTTCGGAAGCTCTGGAGCCAGTTCATGGATGCTTGTTGAAGGGGATGGACGTGCCGGTCACTTGAACCTTAATCCCCAATGGAGCCTCATGTGGCGGGCCACTTAACTAGGTCGGCAAGGGGCTTCTTCTGTCCATGATAGAGTGATGGGTGTGCGGCGGATGGAGGTCTGCTGTTAAGTGGATTGTTGGACCGCACGACGTCCGCCTGCACGAAGTTGTGGATGCCCAACTTCTCAATATTTCAATCAGCGAAGCTTGCCTTCGCGATGTTGATCACCACATGTTCATGAGGTCCTCGCCGCTCCGTTTTTTTTTGCCTCGGGCGTCTTGGCTTCACACAGTTTCAGTCTAAGTGTTTGTGTTTGAATCATCGCACATTAAGCATTTCTGAGCCATCTCCTCCACACCGCATGGCCTCTTTCGCATCAATCGGATCTGCTTCGGTAGACATTCCTCGGATCGAAACTCGCACCATCTGACCGCAAGTGGCATAGCTACTGCGTTCCTGGAACGACTTACTTGGACTTCGCTTGGCCGAAGATGTCCCACCACCCCCTTGCCTCCCGTAGCAGCCGTCCACGTATCCGTGCCAAAATCTCACGAATGTGAGCCCACGCATGGCATCGCGGTGACCAGAAGGTAGACAATCGAGCAGCCGCTGCTGTTTCTGATGATGTGGCAAGGGCATGCAAGGGTCCCCATGCCCAGGCATATCACACAAGCATTGTGCTTGGCAGCGAGGACAGCTACTGCCATCTCTTGGGATGAAGCACTAGAGTCACTAGAGATGAGATGCATTAGAAGCCTTTTCGTGAGTTGCGGTGCATCCGACCTGAAAGGAATACTGGTTCAACGAGGCCGGCGTCGCGGTGTCGGCCTGGCCCAAAGCCGCGAGCCACGCTGGGCTAATACAGCCCACACAGCTGCTCGACATGGGCTGCAGCGAGGTCGAAGGCCGGGTTCTGGAAGTTCTGGGGTTCAAATTTGGTTTGTTTTGCGGCGTTACGATGCCACGCTTATATGAAATTTGGGTCGCGGTTGAAGGGCTCACGGTTCGCCCCATGGTTTAGAAAGTGGCAGATTTCAGATGTGAACGGACCTGGCCGGCCGGTTGTCTGATGGTGGGCGGCTAGAGCTAAGAGGGCAGCCGTCAGCGGCAGCTAGGTCAGCAAGGGTTTGAAGCCGAAGCATCCTGCAGAGAGCCTTCTTTGATGTCCATGTGCTTGTTCTCACGTAGTTTCCATGCCGATGCGCACACACACACACAACGCACACCCTCTCGGTCGCGTGGAAGCTCACACAGCATCAAGTGCAGATTTCTTGCAGGCGCGCGCCTCAAGAGCGCACCTCAGCAGCATTCATGTAGTCATTCCCTTGGCCCTTCTTCGCCCCAGTAAATTCCGTTCTGGACCTGAATTCACGCATAGGCCATGTTTGTCTTGTCAGCAAGCCCCCAAACTTACCATGTGACGTTGAAGCCAGGGTATGTTGCCACGGTGCAGGAGCTGAGCCGCTTTTTTGCAGCGCACAGTGCGGCGCTCGGACATTGAGTTGTTCCCATCCCGATGTTGTGCAAAGAAAGGGGGATGCGCTTCTGGAAATCCTACGGACGTTTGGAGTCGCCTTCTTCTGCATTCCTCCTATGAAAAACGGCCCGCTGCTTTCAGCGTTGCCATGATCTCGCGCCGAAGGCTACGACCTTCTCCGGAAGAACTGCAACGATTTCAGCCGCTGCGCGCTGCAATTCTTGGGCTGCGCGACGTTTCCAGCCGAATACCAGGCCAGGGCAGGGCCTGCACCGGTGCCCTTCCCAGTCCGTTGGTCTGAAGCAGCACCCAGGCGATGGAACGGGCCGTGGCATCCATCGACAGCAGAGCACCTCGGAGCGATTCAGAGGATTAATTTGTACAGTTTTGCGCTGGCTTGCCACCTTGAGGCGTGTTGTCGGGTCGCAGGAAAGGTGCACAAGCGTGTCTAAGCTTTCCGTTTCCGGCATGAATCATGAAGCTTGAGCCCCCGAAGCATTCTTGCGAGCACATGACCTTGTATTGCGCGATGAGTTCGTTGACGCCATGCTTTTGAGTTGATCGCGCACCTCAAGTACGAGATGAAATCCGAAGAAGGTTGAAACAAAACCCTAAACCTCCTGGCTACTGTATGGCTCAGTTCGCGTTCAAGCTTGAGGCAGCTCAAGGGGTCTGATGTTAGCGTTTCGACGTAGTACTCCAGCCGGCTCGCGTTTCATTGTTGCGGGACGTCTGTAGCTTTGCCTCAGAGAGTGTCAGGCCTGAGGGACGTTGCGTGATGTTGCGTGCAGGAAATGTGTTTCCCACTTCCGACCCTCAAATGCCAGTGACCACGCTGTTGGGAAGGTTTCTGGTGTTGGCTCTGCTTTTGATACGGCATTGCGTTGAGGGAAGCGACGGAAAATCTCCCGCCTCTTGCCATTCGTAGGCTGTCTTGGCGCAGCTCGCCACACTGGGGGCATACAGGCCCAACCGGAAGGCCGCATCTTGGCGGCAAGTTTGTGGCCTGTCCGGGTACCTGTCCTTGGGGTTAACTACACGGTTGAAGATGACACTCAAAACGGAGTTTGCTTGGCCGTGAGGGGTCCAAGGCTTACAGTAGGGTTGGGTAGGGCTCATGCACGTTCATGCTACTGTTCATGCTGAAGCTGTCACCCATTCACCGGCTCTATGGCTCGGTCCACTGGTACGGCGTCCCAGCTCCAGATGCCGTTTTGGTCCTGGCATCTGAATCCTGAAGCCCTGAACGTGGACACCCTGAAGCCCAAAGGTTTTTAAACCTTGCCACTAGTCTTCCACGCCAGCCCAAACATCCATATCTGGATCCTCAACCCTGGCCTAAAATCAACAAAACTGCGGAAACCCGAATTGAACCCCGCAAGGACAGCTTCGACTGCAGCGGCGTCATCAAGAACCTGCAGCTCCTTCGCGTCACTTGGAGTGCGAGTCCAGACATTCTCGCCCTGACCAGCGCGAGATTCCGTGTATAGTCTGCCCGTGTCTTCGCCATCCCTCGCTGTCAGTTCCATTGCCAATCTGTGCCACGTGCTTGTGTGTCCTGCAGTGCATCTGCGCAGCAGGTGATCGTTTGCTCGAGTTTTGAAGCTTAGTACGGTAGTACGGCGTTCTACAGGGGGCCAATTCCTTACATCCCTAATCGAGGCACCAGCGCAGAGCACCTACGTGCCGCTGGCGTCATCGCCGGCCCTGCCGCCTCGCCCCACCATGCAGCCCAGCGAGGTCCCAAAAGTATGAAGCTAAGTCTACCTGCAATCGTTTTCCACCCATGCTGGAGGGAGTTCATTCAGCAAGAGATTACTTCTGATTGCTTCTTACGGCATGATGGTTGGCGGCATTCGCGTCGGGAAGAAGTTTGGAGTTTTCACAGAGAGTTTCGTGAACTGCGAGCGTGTGTGACCTTGCCAGGGCTCGAGCCTGCACCCGGCAATGTCAATGCTGTGCAGAGCCGACGAGGCACCATGCCGGCAGCGGGTAGCCGGGTAGCTGGGTACCTGGGTAGCTCTGTGTAGCTCTGGGCAGCGGAACTTTGGGGTACCCGACCGCGTCTGCGGTTGTTGGCGGTCTGTGGTCACTTCGGGGTACACAGAGTTGCTGGCGCAATCCCCCTTCTCACCGAAGCTCATGCTTAGGTGAGCGGCGCAGATCTGCAGCGCTTCGCGCAGGCTGCCCGGAACTGCAGACGGTACTCGTAGCAGGGCAGGCATAACTGCCAGGAGTGCAGAACTTGGAAACTGGAGATTTGGGGTAGCTTAATACATTCGAGAGACCGACCCGGGACCCGGGGCCACCATTGGCAACGCGCCAGCTGTGCCGAAATTGGTGTTACAATGGCCTCCATCGAATCGAGGTTCAGGTGAAATCTAGGTCCCAGGCCTTCCTTCACTGCAATCAACCTTGACCTGCGAACCCGAAACTCAGCGGTAAAGTATAGGCTTTGGGCTGGCGTGTATTTCAGCTTCGAGGCCGAGAGGATCAATGAGAAGTTTCGTATGCTCGGAGCGGCCTCTAAGATTGAGAAGGCCCAGACCATCTCCCACAATGTGAGGGAAGAGATCTGCAAACAGGTTTATCTGCGTAGTAAGAATTGAGTCCGAAGTAGAGAGAGAGAGAGAGAGAGAGCGAGGATTTGACGGCCCAGACCATCTCCCAGAGAGTCAGTGAAGTGAAGAGATCTGCAATAAGGTTTATGCCACATGGCCCTTTTAGCTGGATAGACCCGCCCGTTGCAAGGTGGGCGGTCGTACTGGTGACGCTGGACAGCGAGCCCATCGCCCCACCGAGGCATGACCGTTGTTGGTGGGCATGCGTCCGCAAGCGGAGGAGTTGAGAAAGAGAGGGAGGGATAGAGAGAGAGAGAGAGTTGAGAGATGAGTACAATCTTGATTCTTGGGTCGCCAAACTCCCTGCTCAGGCTTCCCAGAAGCCCTCAAACATTTGACTGTTAGATTCAAGGTGCATGCTACTTGAGAAGATTGAGATTTAGTTTTGCGCTTAGGGCCTAGGGGGCGTCCAAGACTTGCACATAAATTTCAATTTGCGACCCATCTTCGCTGATGACTATCGTCTATCACTACTTTCTCAGTCACCGTCTATTGGTGGGTTCGGGTTAGTGGTTGGCAGGAGCGGGATTCGTTGCTGATTCATAGCTCGTTAATTTTGGCTTGATGGGAACAGGCGGCGCGTCCTAGTTTGGAAGTTTCTTTTGGGGGCATTTGGTACACTGTCCTTTTGCTGCGTGGCTTCCAGCAAGACATCACATGGAAAACGCTGTTTGTAGAAGTGGCGGGGTTCAGTGCTAAAGGCTGGATTTGGCTGAAGCGCATGCAATTGACACGTAGCTGGAACGGATGGCCCACAAAGCGCACACATGAAAACGGGCTCAACGCAAATTCATGATAGATTGATATCATGCTCCCTCTCTTGATTAGAAGCTCTCGGTTCCCGGCCCCTGGCAATGGTGTTTTGCTGGTTGGTGCTTACCATTTTCTAACGGTGTTTCATGGACATGCCGAATCTGCGCTGAAGGTATGCCGTTTTTGCGATGTGCAGACTTCTTGTGCCGAATCAGATACTGTCGGATGTGCCATTGAGTTTTTGCTCAGTCGTTCAACGCTTGTTCTCATTGAGCAGGCAAAGAAAAGAAAGTGCAAACCAGAGCTTGCAAATAGGCGCGTCCTGATTATTGGCAATGAGTATGACAACGTTCGCTGGCAAAAGGTATCCTGCAAATAGCGAGAATCAAGGATGTAGTTCATGATGGTGAGGCGAGCGGCTGCTATATCTGTGATCTGGTTCATCTTAAATCACATATTGGTATTCTTCTTCATGTTGCATGATGCCGCCGCTGCGACAAGTAATGTTCGCACTATGATGATGACGATGATGCCTGACTGCTGCCAGGTTCCCGGTGGTACCATGACTGCCGTTACTACCATTCTCACCACCGTTGCCGCTATCACCATGATGAAATCGCCACTATTGCCATCTTCATAACCATCATCATTAGCACGCTTACCATTATTTCTCGTTTCAGCTCTATCGTTCTTGCCATGGCAGCCATGGTTGCCATTACTGCTACGCTTACTGATCTCACCATTATCACCGTCATTACCAAGCTTTGCTGTTGTATTGCCGCTTTTATCATTTTGTGATGATCGGCGGGCGTCGGGCCTTGGAGCAGCAAGGCGACGCCCAAAACAGAACAACTAAATGTGCTGAGCCATGAGAACCCCGACGCCCAGAACGCACGGATCAACATCCCCCCTGAATCCAGGAAACGCAAAGGGTCCCAAGCGTTGGAGAATCGGCCAGGTTTCCGGCCGCGAGCCCCGACGAACAGCGGCGGGGCGCGCCCGCCGCACGGCATGCTGCTGCTGGTAGTTTCAGAGAGCTCCTTGGGAAATTGGGTCCAGGGGTCATATGGTTCTCGAAAGCATGTCCCCTTAGGATGGTTTGTTCGGCCTGGGATGGTTAGGAAATCTGACCGCTGGCAACAATTGCAAAGAACAGTGTTGCCACTGCGGACCTGCTGACCTTGTCCAAGCTGCCGAAACGCCAAAAAGCCGCAAGGGGAAATGATTCAAACTCCCTACATAATCGAATATCGTGGGCTCAAAACCGGGTATTTTAGCCATCAAGATTAATGAGATTTATTGGTCCGGCTGTTATTGCTAAGTATGAATGATCTGTCTCCTTATGTTCCATCACAGGTTCTGAAAGGGAGAGCGGTGGTGGTCCTTCGTGCAACCGAATGTTAGTGCTAAGATGGTATTGCGTTAAATGTGGGGTTGTCATCATGCAGAAGAGTCATTGCAAAATGTCATGTCGCATGCTAGAGTTTTTGTCTGGGATACTCAAGCAGCTGCTCCCAAGACTTTCGCCGAAGCCCCAGCAAGCCCTTCAGTCCAAAAAGGTCAACAACGTTGGCAAACACTCGACTCTAGCATGCACCCCACTCACCCAAGAAGCCCACGGTTTAAAGTGCAGGGGTTTTAGGTTTCTGTTTCCGAGGGTTTGTACTGGTACTGGGAAGCGCTTGTGGCTTCGCGGCTTTGGACAAGGGCTTGCAGAGCGACTCGAAAGGTTTTCATTTTTGGCAGCTTTGGAGCCTGTCTTACTTGCGCGTTGATGAGCCAGCCCTCCTCGTCTTGCAGCCATTTGCAAAATTCAAGACCGCCTCGGGCCGCTGTTGCCGCGATGAGGCTGGCCTGTGATCCAGTCCTTGTTTGTGACCCTTTCCAGGTCCAGCCTAGCCGCCTAGCATATTTCTGCATCTGCTGTGCGACGTCTTTCGCAAGTCTAGCAATTTCTGCTTGAAAGGTCATGTGATGAGGTACTCCAGGGTTTGTCAAAGCTGTCTTGCCGAGTTCAGCTACACCGTGGGTGAAAACATTGGGCAGTGGTTTATGACCGGGGTGCGATGGCACAAGTCAACAATTTATTCAGCGACAGGGTCCAGCTTGCCGTGACCGAGCTGATGCCGCTGTGACTCGATCGCATTGGTCCTAATAGCATTAGAAGATTCCATTTCGGAAGCTCTGGAGCCAGTTCATGGATGCTTGTTGAAGGGGATGGACGTGCTGGTCACTTGAACCTTAATCCCCAATGGAGCCTCATGTGGCGGGCCACTTAACTAGGTCGGCAAGGGGCTTCTTCTTTCCATGATAGAGTGATGGGTGTCCGGCGGATGGAGGTCTGCTGTTAAGTGGATTGTTGGACCGCACGACGTCCGCCTGCACGAAGTTGTGGATGCCCAACTTCTCAATATTTCAATCAGCGAAGCTTGCCTTCGCTATGTTGATCACCACATGTTCATGAGGTCCTCGCCGCTCCGTTTTTTTCTGCCTCGGGCGTCTTGGCTTCACACAGTTTCAGTCTGAGTGTTTGTGTTTGAATCATCGCACATTAAGCATTTCTGAGCCATCTCCTCCACACCGCATGGCCTCTTTCGCATCAATCGGATCTGCTTCGGTAGACATTCCTCGGATCGAAACTCGCACCATCTGACCGCAAGTGGCATAGCTACTGCGTTCCTGGAACGACTTACTTGGACTTCGCTTGGCCGAAGATGTCCCACCACCCCCTTGCCTCCCGTACTGTAGCAGCCGTCCACGTATCCGTGCCAAAATCTCACGAATGTGAGCCAACGCATGGCATCGCGGTGACCAGAAGGCAGAAAGACAATCGAGCAGCCGCTGCTGTTTCTGATGATGTGGCAAGGGCATGCAAGGGTCCCCATGCCCAGGCGTATCACACAAGCATTGTGCTTGGCAGCGAGGACAGCTACTGCCATCTCTTGGGATGAAGCACTAGAGTCACTAGAGATGAGATGCATTAGAAGCCTTTTCGTGAGTTGCGGTGCTGCGATCCGACCTGAAAGGAATACTGGTTCAACGAGGCCGGCGTCGCGGTGTCGGGCTGGCCCAAAGCCGCGAGCCACGCTGGGCTAATACAGCCCACACAGCTGCTCGACATGGGCTGCAGCGAGGTCGAAGGCCGGGTTCTGGAAGTTCTGGGGTTCAAATTTGGTTTGTTTTGCGGCGTTACGATGCCACGCTTATATGAAATTTGGGTCGCAGTTGAGGGGCTCACGGTTCTCCCCATGGTTTAGAAAGTGGCAGATTTCAGATGTGAACGGACCTGGCCGGCCGGTTGTCTGATGGTGGGCGGCTAGAGCTAAGAGGGCAGCCGTCAGCAGCAGCTAGGTCAGCAAAGGTTTAAATTAAAGCCGAAGCATCCTGCAGAGAACCTTCTTTGATGTCCACGTGCTTGTTCTCACGTAGTTACCATGCCGATGCACACACACACACACCCTCTCTCGGTCGCATGGAAGCCCAAAGCCGCATCAAGTGCAGATTCGTTGCAGGCACGCGCCTCAAGAGCGCACCTCAGCAGCATTCGGAAGCCGCCAAGAACATGTTGCACCAATGAGCAACCTGCCGTGTAGTGATTCCCTGTGGCCATTCTTCGTCCCAGAAATTCCGTTCTGGACTTGAATTCGCGCATGGGCCATGTTTGTCTTGGCAGCAAGCCCCCAAAATGACCATGTGACGTTGAAACCAGGGTATGTTGCCACCATGCAGGAGCTCAGCCGCTTCTTTGCCCCGCACAGCGCGGCGCTCGGACATCGGAGTTGTTCCCATTCATCTCCCGATGTTGTGCGAAGAAACGGGGATGCCCTTGTGGAAAGCCTAATCCTATGGACGTTTGGATGCACCTTCTTCATTCCTCTTATGGTAACGTGCCGGCTCCAATTTGTTGAACATCTACAGACATAGCAGCTGCTTTCAGCGTTGCCATGATCTTGTGCCGAAGGCTACGACCTCCTCCGCAAGAATTGCAACCACTTCAGCCGCTGCGCGCTGCAATTCCTCGGCTGCGCGACGTTTCCTGCCGAATACCAGGCCAGGGCAAGGCCTGCACCGATGTCTTTCCATTCCGTTGGCTTGAAGCAGCACCCAGGCGATGGAGCGTGCAGTGGCAGCCATCGACAGCAGAGCACCTCGGAGCGATTCAGAGGATAAATTTGTACAATTGTGCGCTGGCTTGCCACCTTGAGGCTTGTTGTCGGGGTCGTAGGAACTTGCCGTTTCCGGCATGAATCATGAAGCTTGAGCCCCCGAAGTATTCTTGCGAGCACATGACCTTGTATTGCGCAGTGGAGTTTGTTGGCAGCATGCTTTTGGGTTGATCGTGCACCTCACTTACGCCCAGTTCGCGTTCAGGCTGAGGACTGCGTCGCTCAAGGGTTCTGAATTTCGAGTTACGGCGTAGTATTCTGGATGGTTCATCGTGCATCATGACCAGCCGGCTCGTGTTTCATTGTTGCGGCAAAGATGTTCTTGCTACTGCCTAAGCCAACCTGTAGCTTTGCTTTGCCCTCCTTTCTTCGCATGATGTGGTTACTAAGTTACGCTTCTTCTTTGTTGACTTGCAGAGTGTCATGCCTGATGGAAATTGCGTGCAGAAAATTGTGTTTCCCACTTCCGACCCTCAATCCCAGTGACCAAGCTGTTGGGAAGGTTTCTGTTTTCTACGCTTCTGGTTCGGTACTTACTCGTATTGCGCTGTGGGGAGCGACAGAAAATTCTTGCCATCAGCCAAAAATCGTAGGCTGTTTTGGCACAGCTCGCCACGTTGGGGGCATACAGTCCCAACCGGAAGGCCGCATCTTGTCGGCAAGTGGGGACTTTCTGGGTACCTGTCCTTGCCGAGCTTTTGCAATCAGTAGAAGCCAGTTGCACTGTCGAAAGCAACACTCCAACAGCATTTGCTTGGCGGTGTGGGGGCCAAGGTTTAGGCTAGGGCCGGGTAGGGTTCAGGATGGTTGATGGTCCATACATGTTCATGCTGAAGCATTCACCAATTCACCAGAATTCAACGAATCTTCCGCACTGCAGCGGAGCGTATGACTCGGTCCACGGGCCCTGGGACCCAGCTCCAGATGCTGTTTTGGTCCTGGAGTTTGAGCCCTGAAGCGTTAAGCGTGAACATCCTGGAGCCCGCGTCCCCAAAGTTCTTGAACCTTGCCACGAGTCCTCCCCCCTGCCAAAAACATCCATGTCTGGATCCTCAAGCCTACATCAAGAAATCTTTTGAGAACCCGAATTGAACCCCGCAAGGACAGCTTCGACTGCAGTGGTGTCATCAAGAACCTGCAGCTCCTTCGTGTCACTTGGAGTGACTGACAGTGAGTGCAGACGTTCTCGTCCTGAACAGCGCGAGTGTATGCCCATGCTTCGCCATCCCTCGCAGTCAACTGCATCGCCAATTTGTTACCCGCCGGTCTGCAGCTCTTGTTGGGCCACGTGCTTGTACGTGTGTCCTGCAGTGCTTCTGCGCAGCAAGTGGTCGTTTGCTCGAGTATTGAAGCTTAGTACGGTAGTACGGCGTTCTACAGGGCCAATTCCTTACATCCCTAATCCAGGCACCAGCTCAGAGTGCATACGTGCCGCTGGCGTCATCGCCGGCCCTGCCGCCGCGCCCCACCATGCAGCCCAGCGAGGTCCCAAAAGTATGAAGCTAAGTCTACCTGCAATCGTTTTCCACCAATGCTGGAGACAGTTCATTCAGCAAGAGATTACTTCTGATTGCTTCTAATCGCACGATGGTTGGCGGCGTCCGCATCGGGAAGGAGTTTGGAGTTTTCACAGAGTTTCGTGAGCTGCGAGCGTGTGTGACTTTGCCAGGGCTCGAGCCTGCACCCGGCAACTTCAATGCTGTGCAGAGCCGACCAGGCACCATGCCGGCAGCGGGTAGCCGGGTAGTTGGGTAGCCGGGTAGCTCTGGTAGCGGTGCTGAGGGGTACCTGACCGCATCTGCAGATATTTTGCGGCCTGTGGTGCTGCTCATCACATCGGGATACACAAAGTTGCTGGCGT